GCAAAAACCTTAAAAAAAAAAAAAAAAAAAAAAAGAAAGAAAGAAGAAATGACCAAGTTAACCTGCCACGTGACTCTGTCCAGTGTCCAGGGCCACAGGGAATCACAAGCAGCGTGAGCATCAGCATGCCCACAGCAGTCCCCCTTGCCCACTGGTCCTGATATGGGCAAGGCAGACGGGAAAAAATGGGTACCTGCACACACAGTTTTGTAATGGGAGAAGAGCCGTGTGCTTAGGGAATCTGAATCTTTTATAATGGGCAGTAAGCATACTTTCTGCTTAAGAGAAGACACTGAATCTCCTCTTTTACAGAAAAGGTTGTTTGCTATACCATAGTTTCCTTTTATCTGCCCCAAGACCCTCAGAGGATGCCTGAAACAACACATAGTACCAAACCCTATAAATATTACAATTTTCTGACCTGATAACTCAGTAACTAATAGGTGAGTAGTGTGTTTAGCTGGATAAGCTGCACAGCACAGTCACATCCTGGGCAGGACGGCCTGAGATTTCATCACACTACTCAGAACACACAGTTCAAAACTTCTGAATCGCTTATTTCTAGAATTGTCTATGTAATATTTTTGTACTGCAGTTCACTACAGGTAAATGACACTATAAGAGCAAAACTGCAGATAATAGAGGGCTACTGTACAACCAATCATTCTTAAAAAGGAGGTCTTGGGCAAAGATGTGCAGAAACAGAGAAACAGAAAATAAATGCTTACATAGAAAACAAATGTTTACATGAAAAAACAATTTCTGAAAGATGTTTCAATAAAAATTAGAAACCTAAGAAAAAGGTCTGAAAATATAAAAAAAAAATCAGCCACATAGATTTAAATAAATTTTTCTGTATAATAAAAAAATTTACGTAAGAGTAATTCAGGAAATCAAAGTGGTCACATATAAATTCCAACATTACTTTGTTAAGCACAATTTTTTTTCTGTTTTCATCATTGCTGCTACTGATCTCATCTCATAGAATATATCTTAAAATTGTACTAAATCAGAATCTAGTGATTATTCCCACCAAATTGAAATCTGAAACTCTATATTGTTTACCTTTTGGTCTTGATGTATCCTATGGCACACAGAACCCTTTTCCATACTAGAAAACTTTCCGTTTCAACACTAGATGTCTAGTTTATTCTTACTCAGTCTTCACTGTTCTGTATTACACAATCTGTTTTTTCCAAATGTTCTTTAGGTGACATGTTAAGGCACCTAGCACCCTTCACCATTCTGACTACCCATTCCAGAACATATTCTTATGTATGTTCTTAAAGAAATGAAAATAATCCACCAGCTGATGAATAAGTAAACAGAAGGTGCTATACATAGACAATGGAATATTATTCAGCAATAAAAAGAAAATATAAATACAAAAACATGAATGAATCTCAAAATCTATTGTTCATTTTAGGATAACATATACAATGGCATCAATTTTATAAAACTAATGCTTAAGGTAATGAAAAAAGTACCCTAATGAACTGATGGATTCTAACTAATGCACATGTTTCACATGTGATATCTGTCACCTCTAAAGTTTCAATTCTTATCTTTTTTAAATTGTTGCCATTTGTATTCTATTTAATATGCTTAATCTTCCATCTAATTTCTTTAACATATGTGATATGGTTATAACTCTTTACTGTCTTTGATTATTAATTTTCTATCATTTGTAATGTTAGGAGAACTCTAAAGCCTTGGTATCCCACAGGAAGAGTATGACTGTGATGTTAACATATTACCTGATAGTCGGCAGGTCCGGGACCAGTAGTAGCACAAGCTTCCTTCTGAACCTGGAATGAACTCCGAGGAGCAGAAGAACCAAATGCACTTTTCTTTGGTTTCTTCAACCAAGTCTTTCCAACACTGGCAATTATAGTATTGTTTGAGACATTGTAAAACCCAGGACCTAAAATTATAAAGAATATCATATGTAAAAATAAACATGTTTTTGTTTCTTTTGAATTGAGTAATTTAAAATTGAGTACATTTTTTAGAAAGAATCCTCATATAGTGTTTGCAGGAATGAAATATGGCATAACTCCTTTAAAAAATGCTTTGTCAGATTTTTACAAAAGTTAAACATGGACCAGCAGGTGGTACAGTAGTTAAGATGGCTGGATCCCACATAACTCAAACATGGTTTGAGTCCCAGACCCAGCAGCTTGAAAACTATGCTAGCACATGTGCCCAAAATCTTAACAAGAGTGAGAAATGGAGAGCAGGGATGGTGGCATGATCATAGGGAGTGGTTACTCACTTTCCCACTCTATCCCTCTGTTTCTCTCTGATGAGCACATGTATCCTCTTGCAAATTAAAAAAATTAAAATGCATACTTAAGGGACCAGCAGTTAGTGTAATGGCTATGTCGCTGAACTCCCATGTAGTTGACCGCGGTTTGAGTCCTGGACCCAGTGGCTTAACTCACACTAGGCACGTGTGCGTGCGTGCCCAAGATCCCGAGAGGAGAATGGAGGAGAAGGGATTGTGGCATGGCCACCCCCTCTGGGGGGTGATTTCTCACTTTCTGTCTCTCTGTCTCTCTCTGTCTGGCGAGCACACATGCCCTATAGCAAAAACCTCTCCAAAAAACAAACAAACAAACAAACAAAAACATTCTTAACATTTAATCCAGAAATTCTTTTCCTATGTATGTTCTCAAAGAAATGAAAATAATCCACCAGCTGATAAATAAGAATGTGCTATACACAGACAATGGAATATTATTCAGCAATAAAAAGAAAATATAAATACAACAACATGAATGAATCTCAAAATCTGTTGTTCACTTTAGGATGACATATACGATTGCACAAATTTTATAAAACTAATGCTCAAGGTAATGAAAAAATACCTAATAAACTGATGGATTCTAACTACTAGACTGAATCTCTAAACTTGCTTTTGAAGTCGGATTTCTAACTACCGATTGCTAAAGTTCTTTCCAAGGAGCCAGAGGGAGTCATGTCCACAGACATCAGTCTTGCTATAACAGACCACTTTGGTCTGATGATTGTGGGATGTTTCCTACATTCTGAGCCTGGCATAGCATCACGTGATGTGTAGTAAAGCCTTCTCATCTCTATTAAAGTTAGAGTCTAACATTTTTTCTGCTAACTTTGGGTCTTTTTGAGACAAATACTTGTATTTTACACCAATTACAAAGCTAAGAATTTCTAAATCCACCTATACCCTATCAGCCTACATATTCTGCCTTCTGGGGCTAGGCTAGTATTTACAATTTTGCTTGTATCTCCTGCTCACAAAACTGAATAAAAGAGCTGCACCCTACGTTCACATAATACTTTATTGGGGCTCCCAGAGATTGTGGTTCCAGGATACGGTTATTCATAATTTTGCTATAAATAAACTTTTTCTTTTAGATTTTTGCTATGGGGTACGTGCACTTGCTGGAGAGAGACAGAGAGAGGGAAAGCGAGACATCATGCCCCAGGAGGATGGCCATGCTGCAATCCCTTCTCCTCCATTCTCTCTTCCTGGGATTTTGGGCATACACGCACACACAGGCACCCCACATGACTTTCAAGCTTTCAAGTGCGGGACTCAAACTGTGGTCAGCTATTTCAGAATCCAATGCCATAACCATCATGCCACCTTCCGGCCCCATGAATAAACTCTCCTAACTATTTTTACAGAGGTTAGTCATTTCTATCAACACTTTGTTTTCTTTTCTTAACTGTCAGAGTGTATGTATACTTGTCAGAGAGAGACAGGGAGAGGGAGAAGAAGAAAGCATCCATAATGGAGTATGGTCATGCCACAATCCTTCTCCTCTATGTCTCCATCCTGTTGGAATTTTGGACATATACACACATGCACTTGGTATGTTTTTCAAGCCACTAGGTCTGGGATTCAGACCACAGTCAGCCATGTGGGATCTGGCTCCCTTAACCACGAGACTACAGGGCTGACTCTCCATCAACACTTTTATCTATATATGAAAAGGTATGGATAAAAAGAAATAAGGTCAAATCATTCACTTTTCTAGCAGAATTTCTAAGTAAGAACTAGAATTTTCTGGGTTTCCAATAAAACTGTTTTTCATCTCCAGTCTCTCCAGAAAACAAAAATCTTTCAAAATAGAAAATGGCTTGAGGGAAAATACCCAAAGCAAGATTTGGCTATGAGATTCTTTATTAAATTTTCAGAAAGATTTAGGCTTGTGCCTCATAGAATCTCTCAGTTAAACAAAAGGGCCTCTAAGAATCTTAAGGTCTTACATTCTTGAACTCGCTTGGCTAGATCAATTGTGCTCCTAAGAATTTAAGAGCAGCATTAAAGGTGATCCAGAAGAGAAGGGTTTTTCCAAGAAGAAAATGTAGGTGTGGTTTCTGTCTAGTGGATTTGATTGTAAACTAATATAATAAAAAAACTGTCAGAGTTTTTATAAGAAATTGTATCAGCTTGAGATGAAAAGAATTGAGACAGTACAAAATGAAAAGTAGCTTATAGACTGTCCCCCACACCCTGAAATTTTCTATAGGTACAAAAGGCTGAGAAAGCTCCTTCTACAAACACAGCCTATTTCTTATCAAACAGAAATGATGAGTCCAAGATAGAATCTGGAGCAAAGAACCATGAGAAATCACCTGAAGAGAGTCCTGCTGGGCCTTGATTAAGGAAATGGTACATGGGCCCAGTTGGATTTCAGACATGCTATGGCTTGTGACTATGGGCCTCCAGTTTTTCCTATATTTGAATAGGAATATCTAGAATGATCATCCTATCTCTTCTCACCACTGTATGTTGGATGAATCAACTTGGCTCTTTGGTTCATAGTTCATCTGATAGAGAAAAACCGTATTAAAAATGCTGCATCCTAAGAACCACACCTTAGAATTCTCATCTGACTTATTCCTGACTCAGAGGACAATATCCTGGACTTATAGATCATGCCATAAATGCGTGAGATCCCAGAGTCTTTGAGAAGAGATTCATGCATGTAGGAATTATGCAGATATTTTGCAGCTAAGGGGTAAGATTATATGATTGATTAAAGATGACTATAAACTCTGATACTCTTTGTCATTGAGAGAGACAGTTCCATGTCCTTTCCTTCAATATGTGCTGCCCTGAATTAAATGACTGCTAAAATGCAGGAGAAGTGATGTTCTGGAAGTTCTGTGGTTAGGTTAGCACCTGGTCAGGTTTCTTGGAGCCCTGGCCACCTGTGGCTCTATAACGGAGCTATGTAAAGACTTTGAACGACAGTCCCATCTGAGTCAACTTCTAGTCATCCCATAAAACAATGGGCTATAACAGGAAAATATGTTGTATTAAGCTATTAAATCTTTTACACAGCAATAGATAACCAGAACTCTATGTTAGCAATTGTGTAAGTTACTTTAGTTTTACATTCTTAGGTCACTACACTAGAATGACTGCTGAGAATACTAGAATATGTGATGGACATCCCTGAAATAAAAAGTTTAATAAAAGTGAACATCATAAACTATATTACTAATAGTCACCACATAGTTGATATATATGTTCATCCATCAAAAGAAAATTAGTAAATTTACTGAATAAAGAAAAATAATGAAAAACTAAAATCAAATTGTGTGACATATTGAATTAAAATCTTACTAAAACTGTATGTAGTTTTGAACTATCTGTGTGTAGTGCATACTCAATGCCTTACAAAATCGTTGACTGGGTCAGCCAGTGGTGTGGCCATTAAGGTGGTTGGATCCTATATGGCCAACTACACAGTTCAAATCTTGGACTCGGTGGCTTGAAAAGCATGCTAGATATATGTGTATGTGTGCCCAAAATCCCAAGAAGGGAGCAGAGGAGAAGGGACTGCAAAGTGACCATCGCCCCTGGGGGGTGATTTATCACTTTCTCTCTGTCCTCTCTCCAGCAAGCACATGTGACATATAGCAAAACTTAAAAAAAAAAAAAAAATTGACTTTAAACTATACTACCAACCATGCTACAAACAACAACAAAAATGTACTCTCTGGTGCATCCATGTTGTTAAGAAAACTAAGTTACATAAAGCCAAATAAAAGAAATACATAGATTAATTGCTAACCTGGCATTTCCACTGTTTTAGAGTCCTCTGTGAATCGAGCAGTACTTTGACCAAATGGGGAATTTTTCAATCCTGATGTTTTCTTCAAGGACTTGAGAGCAGTTCGAGGTTCATTATACGTGCCGGGAGCTGGAGTGATGGATTTTACAGGTACAAATCTCTAGTAAAGAACAGAAAAATATGCCAGTGAGACCTGTGGTATATTTTGATGCTTCATGAGTTAAAAGGTGGCTTCAGAGTAATGTAACATCTGGAGCTTAATTTATTTCTCAAGGGAGTGAAGAAAATGTAGATGAATTAAGATCTTATACCCATTAAAACATAAAGTATGGGGACCAACAGTTAGCATAATGGCTAAGTCGCTGGACTCCCACGTAGTCGACGGTGGTTCGCGTCCCAGACCCGGTGGCTTAAACTCATGCTGGATGTGTGTATGTGCATGCCCAAGATCCCGAGAGGAGAATGGAGGAGAAGGGATTGCGGCATGGCCATGCCCCCTGGAGGGTGATTTCTCGCTTTCTGTCTGTCTGGCAAGCACATGCGCCCTGTAAAAAAAAAAAAAACCCACAACATAAAGGTATATAGCTTTTAGTAAAATCACCTATACACTAATATAACACTAATATAATAATGCATTATGTGTCTTACTAAGGCACTTAGATTTTTAGAAAGAAATAATAACATGAGATTCTAGATGATGGTATATGGAAAATATTTACATTTAAAATATGCTGTAAATAAAGATAATGAATAAAAGACCGACATGGTCATCTAACATGACTTATTTTATGTAAACAAATTACATGAACTGAACAAAGTTCCTCAATATGTACATTCAATGAACTCAACAAGATCATTTAGTTTAATACCTTAAGGAAAATAATATCTTAGATTCAAGTGTTTATAAATCTAGTTTAACTTATAAACTTACTAGTATTAAATATATGTGTATCTAAATATTACTATGAACTCTTTGAAACAAGAGTACAACTCTGAGCATTGTATAAGCTTGGTTTTTAACTTATTTGAAAATAATTTCAAATTTTCAGTAAAATGGTATGAACGAAAATAAATACAAAATACAAAATTAATATAAATAATATAAATAAATATAAATATAAAATTATTTATTATCAATTACTCATCTTGTTAAAAGTGGAGAGCCCCTCAGGTTGGTTCCTATGTCCCTTCGATATGCTTTCATTTTTATTTATTTATTTTTTTTTTGGCCATAGGGCACATGCGCTCACTGGAAAGTCACACAGAGAGGGAAAGTGAAAAATCACCACCGTGGGGGAATGGCCCTTCTTCCATCACTTCTCCTCCATTCTCCTCTGGGGATTTTGGGCACACATGAACACGTGGCCAGAATGATTTTTAAAGCCACTGAGTCCAGGATTCGAGGTGTGGTCAACCATGTGGGAGTCCAGTGCTCTAAATACCACACCACCTGCTGGCCCCAACAACTTCCTTTCTTACATAACAAGATTTTTTTTTTTTTTTTTTTTTTTTTTGGAGAGGTTTTTGCTATAGGGCGCGTGCGCTCGCCAGACAGACAGAGAGAGAGACATAGAGACAGAAAGCGAGAACATAACAAGATGTTAATGTTCATCTTACAGCTACTCTGGAATCAGTCATACTCTGAGAAATCTTGTTCCTTTTAATAGAGAATGCAATTAGAGATCAGGATCTGAGTACTAGCTATGAGTATAGCTACTGCTCTCTCTATATATAGAGAGAGAGGAAGAGGAAGAGAGAGAGAGAGAAGTCTGCCTGTATAATCAAAGTGTTACTCCTCCAGTCAAATCAAAACTAGGAAAAAAAGTAAGTTTTTATTTGTAATATTTACAGATTAAATGTGGTTTGTCCACCCAAATTCACATGTTGGAGACTCAGTCACTAGTGTGATAATGTTGAGATGTGGTAAGACCTTTAAGAGGCATGTGGGTCCCAGGGATCTGTCCTTGTGAAGGAATTGATATAGCATCATGGGAGTGAGTGAGTTCTTACTCTCATAGGACTAGATTAGCTACTGCAAAAGCAAGTTCTTACAAAGCGAAGTGGTCCTTTGTGTTCTGTCCCTTTTCCACATGTACACTTGTCATTTCCACCCTCACTCCTGCCATGTGATGCCATCTGCCCTGTTATGACATGGTTTGAGGCTCTAGCCAGATCAGGACATCTGATCTTGAATTCTGCCTCCAGAACACAAGCTACATAAACCTCTTCTTTTTATATTACTCAGTCCTAGTCATTCTGTTACAACAAAGGAAATAGACTAAACACCCACTTTCCATGGGAGAAATACATCCACGGTGGTAGCTAATTTCACAATACCAATAGAACATCAACCAACATGCAAAATACATACTGTAAGTTAACAACTGACTCTTGGTGTGAGTTTCAAGCCAGAAGGTCCAGGATTCGAACCATGATTGACTGTGTGGGAGTTCAGCACCATAACCACTATGCCACCTGCTGGCCCCTCTCCATTATCTTCTTAAATAAAACTGATATTATATTATTTTCCATTTCTAAAATACATTTTTAAAAAGATTGGTGTCCAACAACATTAGGGCTATATATCAAATAAACGGAAATAGCACAAAATCTGAAAGTTCTGGGGGTAAAAATATATTTTAAAAAATCAAGGGCAAACACACACACACACACACACACACACACACACACAAATATCCTGTCTTCTACATCTTTTGTTTAATACCTTAAGTACTGGTAAGTTGCTCAAGGCAAAAATCTATTATTCTTTTTCGATTCTTCCCAGTCTCTCAGCACAACATTTAACCCATTAAAAAGTCATGTTAATTATATCTCCAAAATACACCTGCAGTCTATCTGTTTGTCTCCAAAGAGGTACAACAAAACCAAAGCCATCACCTGAGGTCACCTGAAGGGTAATAATCTTCCCAAGTTATAGAAGATCAGAGCTGTACACACTGTAGATGGATAAATACCACAAATATGTACTTTGGTCTGGATACTGCCTCTTTACAAGTGTCTGCTAGCATTACAACTGCCTTCCCTTAGAAACATCTTAGTTGCCGTCAAGTCCCCATATCATATCCTTTGGAGAATGTGAAATGAATTCTGAGTGTAACATCACCAATGAAGGTCTAATGAAGGTCTCGGTGGCAGTTGTAGTTACAAACTACAGCCAAGCTCCACAGAACACTTTCAAAATGTCTGAAAGATACATAGGTCCTTACAGGTTACACTTGTTAACTCCATGTGGAACACTCCACGTGTATCTGCGGAGTGTGGCAAAGTATATTTTAAAACTAAGAACAGGGGTCAGCAGGTGGTATGGCGGTTAAGGTGCTGGATTCCCATAGCAACCTGTTTGAGTCTCAGATCATTGGCTTGAAAATCACACAAGGCACATGTGTATGTGTGCCCAAAATCCTGAGAGGAGAATAGAGAAAAGGGATTGCAGTGTGGACATCTCCCCAGGGAGTGACTTCTCACTTTCCTTCTCACTCTCTCCAGTGAGCACGTGCAGCCTATGGCAAAATCCTTAAAAAAAAAAAAAAAAAGAACTCAGACAAAAATTGGCATTTCTTATAAACTAAACTGAATGTTCACACATGCAAATTTGCTTGATATAAAATGTTTAGTAGATGGTTCCAATTCAAATATTCATCTGTGTATTGTTGTTAATATTCTAAACTTGTTCACTTCATTTAACCCGTTTTTTAGCAATATGTCTTGCCCAGACCATGTCTGTTTCCAATTTGCTTAAATACCACTTTTCTTTTTATAATCTCCTTAAACACCATTGGATTTGTTGCTGGCCTAACATTATGCATATTATTAGGTTCTAAATATGAAAATGGCTATAGACCATTACCTGAGATTGAGAGAGAAAAGCAGGGGATGCATCATTTACATTTGTCACACTCTCAGTCTTCTGAAATTGACTTTTAATGTCATATCTTCCAGGCCCTGGTACTCCCTAAATTGCAGAGAGAAAGAAATACATACTCTCATTAAGAAAGGATCTATAGCACCTAAGGGAAGAATTGGCTAAATATCTGAACCAAAGCTACAAGGTTTTTAAATGAATTCCTACATGATTTTAGCTAAGCACTTCATTAGAAGGCAAGCCAGAACAAACTTCTTAAGAGCAAGGAAAAAGAAAATTTCCTTTAGCAAAGCTTCCCTTGAACCTGAATATATACAACCTAAGACTTTGCTGCCCTCTACTGATAAAGCTGAGAAAATATTTTCTAGCACCTTCACGATTAAACATTAAAGTGAAGAAATAAAAGCAAGTTCTAGAGTTCTTCCATTTGCAAAAACTAGTTTTTAATATTCAAAAATAATACTGTCTTTTATCATTTCTATTCACTAATAGCTTGCTTGTTTTTTTCCCAATAGGGATTAGAAAACATTTTAACTACAGATATTAGATGCAATAAGTTGAGTTTTTAACTAGATACTTTACAATAGACAAAAGGAAATTCAGTAAATCCTAGGATTGAGCTATTTTATTATTAATATAAATTGAAGATATGTCAAAAAGTGCTATTTATTCATCAAATGTTTACTTTGAAAAAGTACCTTTCATAGAAAAATAAAACAAAATTGGATTCAAATCTTCACATATACCACACCTATTTTTCTACAGCTGAAATAATTACTCCTTGGGTTAAGAACTGAACACAATTTAGGTTTACAAACATCAGTGTATAATGAAGTTGTATCAGCATATTCTGTGATCCCTATCTTTGTAATATGTCCAAACCCAACTGCTTCTCTCCACCTTCACATCCACCACTCTGATCCAAGCCACTACCATCTCTTACCAGAATTATTGTGAACGTCCCCAAAGTGTCCCTTGAGGGTGGTGCTTCCACCCTTCTCCATCTTCCGTCTACTAACATAGCAGCCAGTGATGAATTTGGTCCAAACTCTGACTCAGATTGCATCACCCCCTTCCCAAAGTCATCTTTGGCTTCCAATCTCACTTAGAGCAAAAACCAAAGCCTTTATGGGCTGAATTCCACCCCCACACTCTATTGCCCCTCTAATCTCTCCTACTACTCATTCACTCTGCTCCTGTCTTCCCCAAACAGATCAGGCGTATATCTGCTTCAGGACCTTGGCACTTGGCATTCTCTTTGCTTGGAATGTTCTCCTACAGAGCTCCGTGGCCCACTCCTTCGTTTCAATGAGGTTACTACCCAGTCATCTTTTCTGCGAGTCATTTCAAGCAACCAAATTTAAAACATTATTGCCTCCTTCAAACAAGTCCTATCCTCCTCCCTTCAAGAAAAAAAAAAAAAAACTTTATTATTTATTACTATCCAAAATACTATTTTCTGGCATGTTGTAATTCCAGGATGGTGAATTTTTTGTTTTGTTCTGTTCACTGCTGTACCACTAGAGCACCTGGACCATAGTAGTAGTAGGCATTCAGTTCACACTTGCTAGAAGAATGGATACTGCATGAATGCAATCCTATACTCTTACTGACTACATTATAAACTTGGAGACATGTTTTCTGAGAAACAATGTGGCTCCAAGTAAATGCATTAGCTACTTTTAATTAGAGCAAAATATTTAAAGCCCATGTTAAATTAAAAAAAGAACACGTTATAATCATTTGAAAAATTAGGAGAAACTCATAGAGAAGTACCCCTTCTTATAAACAGATTCAATTCTAAAGGTACTCCAAGGGGTGTGCTCCTGCTCTCAAAGGAGTAAGTGATCTGGTGGCTGGTAGGAAAGATGTGCTTCAGCTATGATACATAAGATCATTTTTATTTATGTATTTGCAAGTTAAGTTTAGAAGAAAATAAACTTCCATGTAATTTTGTAGCTATGAAATATGAATCAAACATAGAAATGTGAAGAGAATAACTTCAAATACACAGTAGTGTTAGCCTATATTTTGGAACTTCATAGATATACTATATCCTTCTTCTCCCTAAGTAGACAAGTACAAAAATAACAATTAACAAACGAGGATTATTTTCCCATTGTTTTCAACAAATTGTATAAATGATTATTAATATGAAACATGGGGAAAAGATTGTGACTAATAGAATAAGTGAATATACTTAGTTTCAAAGGTACTATTTTACATAAAAATATATAAGATCTTGAATCCTTCCAAAAGAACGTCTTTTCCGTTTTCTGCTTTTTCATAAAGATCCTAAGGTTCCTGAGGTTTGCTACATTAAAATAAGACAGAGCAGTAAAATGAGGCCCTTGCTTCAAAAAAGTTAAAACTCTGGATTTAATAAGCCAATTATTGGGTCGTTGAAAAGTCGTGGTGCATTTTTGCATAGAAAATTATGTCATGACTTTTCCAACGACCCAATCAAAATAAGCTCTAACATAGGCCATGAGAAATGAACACTAAAGGACAGATCTCAATTTAGGACATTATAGAGAAGGCAAAAATACTTGAAGCAGACAAAGCCCTAGACACAGACTGAAAACGCTGTGGTGCTAATCCTGCTTTTTCAAATTGTGACCAAGAGACCTCCTGCATTGATACCAACCTATTAAATACACAGTCCCCATCTGAGACACAGTGAATCCGAATTGTGTGGAGTTCAGACATCTACTTTAAACACCCCCCTTGGATGATTCTCATGCGTAATGAGGAACAACAGCCTGCCAACCCCAAAGGGGTCGCAACCACAGTATCTTTTATTAATCATGTCTATCCTAAGGAAGGTCTAGCTCTTGAAAGTATTCTGCTGTGGAAACAGAGGGTAAAAATTCTGGAAGGAGGGGGTGCCAGGTAGTGGCATAACAGTAACACAACTGGACACACACAGAAGAGGTCTTAAGTTCATGTCCCAGGACTCCCTAAGCACACCAAGCATGCAAGTATACCTATGATCAGCCAGGCTGCACCTGATCACAGCGTGAAGACCCTTTTGGGGTACTTTCTCTCTCTTATCTCAATAAATAAAAAAATCATTAGAGCAGGCTATTTATGACATCTTTTCACCTGTAAAAATGGACTTATTTCTGTTAAATAAGGAGTAATCACACATTTGATCAGACGGTATGCAGAAATGTGGAACTGGGAAAAACCATAAAGCTTTAACTTTACTTATGTATCATCATCAGTGATTATAACTATTTTCATCTTTTTAAATATATCAATCTTAATATATGGAAAGCACTGCTGTACAGTAATAAATAAAACACGGACTTTGCTTTTGAGTTCATTTAAATGGAGGCTGCAAAAGAAAGTAACCTGGAGAACTTTTAAGAATGACAATGCCTCATCCACCTTACTCAAAGCCACTGGTAATGAGGTGAAGACATTATCAACAACAGCAGAGAAAAAAGGTCCCAGGTTTACTGTAAAGCATAGTTAGGACTGAGGCCTGTTAGACCAGCTTAGCTCAGGCTGGTGGCCTCACCCATCACTTTCCACTGGTTCTGTCAGCACAGCACCTGTGAACTTGAGTTGTTTCCTAGAGTTTCAGAGTCCTTTTCATATAACGAAGGTTAGAGTGAGATCTCTGACTTCAAGCTCACATACTATAACTTTAACTTCTTTGAACACATTTAATTTTCAAATTTTTTTTTCTTATTCTCTAAACCTGCTTTTATTCACCCTTGTATTACATGCCATCTTTCTGGATACTATTTATAATTACTTATTTATCCAGAGAGATAGCTGCAGACAAGAACTCATGACCCACCGCCAGTGCTGGGCCTGATTACCCCTGCACCCACTGCGTTTCCTGCATCATTGGGGTCACTGGGTGTAACACAGCTTGTAAGCGGCTGGGATGAGTATTATTCATCAGTAGCATAATCCCAATTACCAAGCTCCCTTTTCCTAGTCATCTCCCAAATAGAAGTGGCAGTGTGACACAGTCTTGGCTAATGAACATTAAGCAACTGTCAGAAGAAAAGAGAAGCCAGGGAAAGGTTGAAGGAAAAACTAGTTTGATTTTGAAATGTTCATTTTTTAATTCCTGTGAAACTTCCAGGTGCAGACGTCATATAGACAATAATTCACGGAGGCGCAGAGCTCAACGGAGAGGTTAGGGTAGTAAATACACAGCAGAAGGGATCTGTGCATCTCTAAGTGATCAGGCTATTCAGTGGTACCCGAAGCCATAAAGTTAAATGTGGTTTCTGTGGAAACCGTAGAGAAAGAAGAGAAAAGGACTAAGAACATTATGTAAAATTTATGTGATTCTCAGTATGTTTAATACTATATTCTTCATATCACTAATCTCCTTTTAGTGGTCTATATAAATCTATGAATCAAGCTAATCTTTAGACTGTGTTACAACTTAATTTTGAGATCATTTAGTATATTTTTCAGTTATTATCTGGATGAACATTTTGAAAAGCCTGACAATTATTCCATTTTCCAGAATTAATAAAAGTGGAAGTATTCTAGTCCCTAAAAACAAAATGATATTTAGGATCCTTTTTCTATGTCATCTTATAAGGAGAACAGTTATATACAATTTAAAATGAAAGTTTGAAATGTAAAGTATATCCAGTATTTTATATCAATCTAATTTTTGCTATATGATTATACTTGGCACTATCTCCCTAATAAAAATATATATATATATGTAGCCCATTCATTTAAAATGGAATCTATTATAAAAGTATGACTCAGATATAGTTAACTCTTTGGATGACCCATCCTTGTGATTAATTGTTCAGAGTAATATATAACTTTGATTTGGAACTATAGAAAAGAATGTCTATATATTAGATTCATTTGCATAATTGCAACATAAATTTTAGTTCATTTAGAACACATAATGCATTCTTGTGTCTGATCTCAGGAAACAAACATGCTCTATGTGGTTTTTAAAAAAACTAATTAAATTTAAACAGAACTAAATCAAATAAGCATGGTTTAAAAAACTGTAAGTGAACAAAATGATTTGGAAAGTAACTGTATTAATCAATAACAGCATTGCAAGTGTTACTGAGTCTCAAACAGCATTC